TAAACCTCTATTAGGTCACATCTCAGCCTTTGATGCTCCAGGGAAAATAACCCCAGCCTACTGAGCCTCTCCCTATAGCTTAAACCCTCCAACCCTAGCAACATCCTTGTAAAACTTTTCTGAGCCTTTTCAAGTTTCACAATACCCTTCCAAAGCAGGGTGCAGAATTGCACACAGTATTCCAAAAGTGGCCTAACTAATATCCTGTACAGCTGCGACATGACCTCCCAACTCCTATACTCAATGCACTGTTCAAGAAAGGCAAGCATACCGAATGCCTTCTTCACTATCCTATCTACCTACGACTCCACTTTCAAGGACCTTTCATGTTTCCCACCATCGGTACCATATTTAAAGCTTAGTAGTGCAACAGTTCAAATACTGCAAGCCAGAAATAGCCCTTCATAGTTGCAGTATGTAAAGGGTTAACCCTCTATTAGTGATAGAGGAACATCCCACAATGTCACATGTAGGTTAATGAATTTCTTTGCTTTGCAGGGGCAGTTTTGTCACATGTCCTCAAGACATTTTCAATTGGCAATGCCTCTCTCTGGAAGGAATTCCATCAGTGGAGAATGACTGTGGGTCTCCTGCACATTTTCCAGATAATGAGGGTAACTTTGGCTGAAATTGTAAATTAGGAGGCTGCACCATATCCACTGAAAGCTGCTGGTCCTGGCCTTACAAACAAATGTAAACTTAGTCAATTTCTGTAGCCATTAGTTGTGCAGTGGACACAGAGATGACAACAGGTTTTGTGTATAGAACTATTGTTGATGGTTCTAGTGAGCCTATGTGGGGAATATCAGAAACAAGCAGTTTCTCAGGAATGTGATCAGTCAGCAGTTACAGCACACACAAATGACATTTAACCATTGTCCTCCAAACATTAGGACATGGAAATCTCTGACAAGGAAGGCAAAGGGATAGCTGACTGTTATCTGTACAGCTCCCCAGCTGACTTTATGTTTAGTTGACTCATTGTATTAGACCTGAAGGACTGACCATAGCCAATTCCCCAGGCCATAATGATGCAGACTCCCTGTTCCTGAAGGCCCCAAGCAGCTGGCTGTCCAAAATCCTGGCCTAGTATTGTACAATACCATTGACTGACTGTGTTAGCACCCCTTGGCTGACAAAAGTCCTCCTTGACTTGACCAAGGACTAGTTGGCTTAGACTTTTGAGACATGACCATTTGGTTGAAACACATTCAACATGATTGACGCGTAAGCTGCTGGCATTCACTGCAGGTATGACCTGGATGTAGCACAGTGTTACACACCAACATGTCCACCTTCTTGATTCATCCTCCCTGGCAAAAATGGCAGTTCTGTGTCTGTGCTAAAAGATAATGCAAGATAGAAATACTGTAAGTTCTGAATTAGGAGGTAATGCGTAAATAGGCAATGAAAGGCAGAGATGCTGTAAGCATCCAAGTAGCTGCAAAGTGAGTGAAGGCTAAGAACGTAAACAAGTAGCCCTAAGATGTAGCCTGCTTCAATGCCTATGTGCATTGGTCCTGCAGCAGCATTGCAATATAAGGTGTTGTTGAACTCTAAAGTACATTTTGAACTGTATCATAAGTGCATTGGAGATGTACCATGATGATATGGTGAGACTGATTCTTGGTTGATGCCAGCCACTGAGGACGGAGGGTACAGGCAGTAGCTGCCCATGGAGCATGCCCAGAGATGTTGGGGAATGGTGTCCAGAGAAGACTTCAACAAATTGCAGCCGTGAGGTGCGCACTCTGCATTTCATGTCGCTAATTATTACCATCGAGTTTCTATCTGTTGCTTGGGAAGATAGCAATATCCATATAAATGAGGTGAGATTAGGTAATAATGATTAATGCATGTAGATAGGCCCCTCATCATTCACTTGCATAATTCTCATTTGGCAATTAAAACGCTAAGCAAAAAATCAGGTTCATTTTCTTGATCAGGAAGCAATTCTTCCATTCATGCTCTATTTTTTCAACTGTCTCATCATTACCAATACCATTCAGGGCCTGGGAAAATTCAGACCATTGTTTCATAGACAATGAGGATCAATTATCTTTTATCATTTTTTATAATTCTTGTGATATGGTCATTACTGACTAAGCTAATACTTATTGTCCATGCCTAATTGCCTGAAAGAAGATGGTAATGAGGTGCCATCTTTAACCACTCCAGTCAATGTGGTTTTGGTACACCCACAGTGCTATTAAGGAGGGATTCAGAACATTGGCGGAGCAACACTGAAGGAATGGCAATGTTGTGCAAGGTCAGGATGGTGTGTGGCTTGGAGGAGAACCTATAGGTGGTGATGTTCCCATTGTATCTGCTGCTGCTGACCTTGTCCTTCTAGATGGTAGTAATGATGGGTTTGGAAGGTGCTGTCTAAGGAGCCTTGGTGTGTTACTACAGTGCATCTTGTAGATGGTACAATAGTAGAGCTGTTCTAATTGTGAACTGAACATTTTGCATACTTCTATTACAACTTACAATATTGTCTTTTTGTCGAAGCTTTCAGTTTGTAATACAGAGCTTTTGGAAGTCCTGGTAGTTTGCTCTATTCTCATAAAGAGAAAGGAAGTCTTTTGGCTATTCTCATAAACTAGATGAAAACAGCCGGAAACCTTTTAGTTCACTGACACATCAGGATGCACAAAGATACCAAGAATTGCAGATGCTGGAGTCAGAGTCAACAGTGTGGAGCTGGAGGAACACAGTCGGCCAGGCAGCATCGGAGGAGCAGGAACGTCAATGTTTCGGGTTGGGACCCTTCTTCAGAACTGGGGAGGGGGAAGGGAGCTGGGAAGTAAATAGAGGGAGGAGGGCTGGGGCTGGGGAAAGGTAGATTGGATGGTGATAGGTGGATGCAGGTAGCGGGTGGTGGGGATTGGTCAGTGGGAAGGGTGGGGCGGATAGGTGGGAGAGAAGATGGACAGGTTGTGTCAAGTCAAGGAGGTGAGAGGGAGGAGGGGTGGGGCTGGGGGAGAGGAGGTGGGATGGTGATAGGTGGATGCAGTTGGGGGCTAGTAGGGATTGGTCAGTGGGAAGGGTGGGGCAGATCGGTGGGAGAGAAGATGGACAGGTTGTGTCAGGTCGAGGCAGGGATGAGAGGGAGGGTTGGGTGTGGTATGAGGCCAGGGGTGGGGAGATTTTAAAACTGGTGAATTCTTCTTCCCTACTTATCTGCCCCACCCTTCTCACTGACCAATCCCTATTACCCCCCCACCTGCATCCACTTATCACCATCCCACCTCCCCTCCCTCAGCCCCAACCCTCCTTATTCTCACTTCCTTGACCTGACACAACCCATCCATCTTCTTTCCCAACTATCCATCCTACCCTTCCCAGCAACCAATCCCCACTATCCCCTGCATCCACCTATCACCACCCCACCTACCTTTCCTGAGCCCCAACCCTCCTCCCTCTCACTTCCTTGACCTGACATAATCTGTCCATCTTCTCTCCCACCTATCTGCTCTACCCTTCCCACTGACCAATCCCCACCACCTCCTCCCTGCATCCACCTATCACCATCCCACCTACCTTCCCCCAGCCCCACCCCTCCTCTCTCTATTTATTTCCCAGCTCCCTTGCCCCTCCCCATTTCTGAAGAAGGGACCCGACCTGAAACATCAACTTTCCTGCTTCTCTGATGCTGCCTGGCCTGCTGTGCTCCTCCAGCTCCTAACTGGGTTGACTATATCAGGATGCATATTTGTTGTTGTCAACACAGAAGGAAATGTTTTCACGTCTGTTTCTGTTTTCAAAATGTTTTGTGATCTAGTTGTTATAGTGCTTGTCTAATACTATGGAGATAATCAGTTCGAGTCCCAGCTTGGAAAATTGTGATAATAAATTTCATGGGTCTGGAAATTTCTGGACAAGATTATTATAAGAATCAACTGGTTCACTTATGTCCTTTCATAAGGTGAGCTGCCATTCTTCGCAAATGAGGCCTCCAATCCCGCAGTATATGACTGACTTATCAAGAGCAATGTAAATCACATCGTAAGAACAGATTAAAGTGATTCGTTTTTGCTTCGTCTTTGCTGTCTTTATTTATATGCAGAGGCAGACATCAAGTTACACCACCTGCTTCTGTCTGATTAATAGATAATATGAAGCATCTTTCTGTAACATAAGTTAGCCAGCTAAGTCATGATGACAAATGAAGAGGAATTACCAGTTAGAAGACCAGTGGATGTGACCTCATTGCTAAACAATATAGAGACCTGTAGTGCACTGAACTATTTGCAAATGTAGCAGGTCATTTTTCCAATACTCTGGTCAACCTTAATGATTCAAATACAATTTAATTGGCCATTTATTTTATTGCTGTTTGTGGGGCATGTTTGTAAATGTGCACCCATATTTGCCTACACTGCTTATATTTCAAAAGTACCATATGAATAAAAGCTTTTTTTTCTCTTTTCGAGTGCAATAGAGGCTGCTCTATTGGAAATGGTTGTATCTTTTATTGCAGACAAGCACACTGCAGAGCTTCACTGATCTCATTGGACTACATGGTCTACTTTTCTTCATAACAATGAATGAATCCTGATCTAGGTCAAGGCCCATTAGTTTTTGGCATGGAATGAGGGTGCACAGATAATGGTGCAACATCTTGTACGGATGGGAGGATATCCATTTCCACAGATGTTTGTAGATATTGCTGAAAGCAGGCAGTCAGGCTGCCTTTACAGCACCACAGATGGTTCAGCCTGCAGTAGACCTAAGCAAATACTTACTAGCCTTGGCAGAAGAGCTTCTTAGGTTGCAGAAGCCCTATATCAAGAATAGTTTCATCTGCCAAATGATGCAAATGAAACTGATGAGGTAGTAGGCAACAGCACAAATACAAAAACATATTTGAAATGGAGTCATTGAAATGATTTGGTTAAGATGTTCATTCATTATTTAGATTTTTTTGGATTTATTTCCCTCAGAATACTCTTTATGAATACAATAAAAGCTTCAACTTCTATCTCTCAATTTTCCAGGTAAAGGAGCATATGATATAGAAGCTTTAAATGAGGCAGCTTGGAGAAGTTCCCAAGATCAACTGGTACCTTGTGAGAACTGTGGGCGAACCTTCCTCCCAGACAGATTGATTGTCCATCAACGTTCGTGTAAACCAAAGTAACCAAACCAATGAACAAAGCTAAACTGATATGGATTAAGATGTGACGACAAACAATAGTTTATTGATTCCATGAAAACTGAAATAATACAAAACTTTTTTTAAAAAATGTTTGTGGCATTTTTGCATAAATTCCTGCTGTAAATCAACTTGAATAAAACAATTTTAAAATTAAATTCACCATTCATATATCATTGCTTCAGGATTGGGATGGGCATTCTACTGCTGTTCCAACACACACCTGCCAAGTCTTTGCCTATCCAAATAAAGGCCACTGACATGTTTAGGGCAGAGATTTTCTATGCTGGGACATTCAAGCATTGTGGCCTTTTATTTAAAGAGGTCAGTTCATGTATACAGTTGCACGTCAAATAATTCTCAAGCATAAATGTATATCTCACACAAAGGGTCTTATAGAATCGTATAATTTTAAAGTACAGAAGGAGGCCATTTGACCCATTGTGTACCAGCTCCTAAAAGAGATACCCAGCTAGTCCCATTTTCAAACCCTATCTCCACAGCCCTATAAATTCATCACTCTCAAATATATATTCAACTCTCTTTTAAAACCACCTATGGAATCGGCCTACACCACTTTCCCAGGCAGCGCATTCCAAATCCTAACAACTCTCTGATTAATGAAATTTCTCCTCATCTCACACCTAGCTCTCCTGTTGACGATCTTGAAATTGTTATTTTAGTTACTGACATAGCAACTGGTGGAAACAGAATATTCTTCTTTATCCTGTCAAAATTTTGAAAACCTCAATAAGGCCACCTTTTTATCTTCTCTGCTCCAAGGACAATAAGCCCAATTTCTCTAATCGTTCCTTGTATCTAAAATTCTGCATTCCTGGTATCATTCTCATACAGCTCATTCTCCTGCCCTGCCCTTCCTGATCACTTTAAATGTCTCACAAGCCTCTAGCTGTAACCCCCTTTTTCCTCCGATGTTACCTAATTCTATATCTATTGCTACCTTGTTGATGACCACTATGCTAGCCCACTAGTTTTTCTGGGTGAGCAGTTCAATACCAATGTTCCCTGTAAGCTGAGCTCTGAAGATGAGACATACTGGACTCAAAATATTAACTGTGTTTCTCTGCCAGACCCATTGAATTTCTTTGGCACTTTTTGTTTTGATTTCTTTATAAACCATGTAATCATACCCAAATGTTCCTGTGAAGGCAGCATACAAGTTGGTTCTTTTAAGTTATCACACATGCACAGCTGCTGCAAGAAAGACAAGAGGGCCTGTGCACTCAAATAAATCATACTCCAAAAGAAATTAGAAGGTACACTTTTCAATACACATGCAATGCAGGATCTATCCTATTTGGTTTCCATTAAACTCTGCACATTGTTACTACATTCCCTGGCAGCTTAATCAGGTTAACCTCAGTAATATGAAAATTGTGTTTTCTTCTTGACTGTGATTTGAGCTTCAAGCCCTACAACAAGATTTTCCATTTCCAGCTTCCCAACAGCTCTTCTAACACTACTGTCTTAATTCCCTTTCCAAAATGCAGCTGAAACACTAGTCCATGCCTTTAGCTCTTCCAAACGTGATCATTGTAACACTGTCCTTGCTGGAGTCTGGTCCCTCGTGCATTATACTTTTCCAAAACTAATCTGTTTATGTACTACCTTGCTCCTCATTATCCTAATCCTAACCATCCTTATTTTCTCCTTTCCATTTCTCCAAATACATTTATTTCAAGGCATCTGCTAGCCTATCCTGGTTCTGCTATTAAATTATATGCGTTCACTTTATCTTCTATTTTTTGTGGAAAGTTAATATAAATGTGTATGTATTTTTGCTATTATCAATGTGAAAATTATCATTGCAATGCAAACATATTTATTTTAAAGAAATGTTTGTAACAATTAAGAGCTTGATAATTGGGAAGTAGAATTTCTGTGGAGTTCACTCAATCTTGATGTAAGCGAAATCTTGGCAAAACGGTGTTACAGACATTCTAATTCAATATTTTAATATTAAAGAAAACTATATTAGAATGTTCACTACGATCAATTCATTACTCTCTGAATGATTTTTCTAAATTGTGATTATTTGGAAATTTAAATTAAAATCACAAATTTGAAAAGCAAAATAAAACGGTTGTATCTGTATTTCTTTTTTTTTTAACTGTGTCCGTGGTACATGAAATGAAGTGATGTAAAAACCTATTTCATGTTTGCCAAGTGGGGATAATTTTAAATATATCATGGACATGATGGATGGGATTGAATTTGTACAGGAGATCTCCCAAACTTTTGCCGTAACTTTGGCAGAAGATCAGTGAAAATCCTGGAGGAATGATACAAATGGTCAATTATGCCATTTCATCAAGCTTCCATTGACGATCAGAAGAAACCACACAAAAAGACCTACCAGGGGAAGGCCATAGCGAACAGGTCTCTGGCACTGAGCCTGGCCCTGTGGCACAGAAGGGGAGAGGGGAGAATAGGAGAGCAATTGTAGTGGGGGATTCGATAGCAAGAGGCACAGACAGGCGGTTCTGTGGACACGAACAAGATGAACGGATGGTATGTTGCCTCCCGGGTGCCAGGGTCCGTGATGTCTCGGATCGTGTCTTCAAGATCCTTAAGGGGGAGGGTGAGCAACCAGCAGTCATGGTACACATCGGTACCAATGACGTAGGTAGAAAAAGGACAGAGAATGTGAAAAATGAGTACAGGAAGTTAGGTTGGAAGCTGAAGTCCAGGACAAACAGGGTAGTTATCTCTGGATTACTACCAGTGCCACGTGATAATGAGGTAAGAAATAGGGAGAGAGTGCAGCTAAACACGTGGCTACAGGATTGGTGTAGGAGGGAGGGCTTCCATTATGTGGATATTTGGAGCACATTCTGGGGAAGGTGGGACCTGTACAGTAAGGACGGGTTGCACCTGAACCGGAAGGGCACAAATATCCTGGGAGGGAGGTTTGCTCGAGCTATACAGGATGGTTTAAACTAGATTGGCAGGGGGTGGGGAACCGGATTTATAATTCAGAGGATGAGGTATTCAGCCTTCCAACGGACACAACAGGGAGTGAGGTTGTTTATAAAGAAATGCGGTCGATGGAGCGTAATTGTGGACACAGAGATGGTTTGAGGTGTGTATACTTCAATGCTAGAAGTATCAGAAATAAGGCGGATGAACTTAGAACATGGGTCGATACTTGGAACTACGATGTTGTGGCCATTACAGAAACTTGGGTAACTCAGGGACAGGAATGGTAGTTGGAAGTTCCAGGATTTAGATGCTTTAAAAGAAATAGGGAGAGTGGAAAAAGAGGCAGGGGAGTGGCATTGCTCGTCAGGGCTAGTATAGCAGCTACTGAAAGGCAGTTCGAGAATGATATGTCTACAGAGTCAGTTTGGGTTGAGGTCCAGAACAAGAAAGGAGCAGTCACTTTGTTGGGGGGTTTTTTACAGACCCCCCTAATAGTTGCAGAGAAGGAGAGGAGCAGATTGGGAGGCAGATACTGGAAAGGTGCAGAAGTCACAGGGTTGTAGTCATGGGTGACTTCAACTTTCCAAATATTGATTGGAAGCATTTTAGTTGTAATAGTTTAGATGGAGCGGATTTTGTCCAGTGCGTTCAGGAAGGATTCCTGACACAGTACGTAGATACACCAACACAAGGAGAGGCCACTTTGGATTTGGTGCTTGGCAATGAACCGGGCCAAGTGTTAGACCTGTTGGTAGGAGAGCATTTTGGCGGTAGTGATCATAACTCTGTTACTTTTACAATAGTCATGGAAAAGGATAGGCACATACAGCAGGGTAACGTTAATAATTGGGGGAAGGATAATTATAATTCTGTTAGGCAAGAACTGGGTAACATAAATTGGGAACAGATGCTGTCAGGGAAGAGCACTATTGAAATGTGGAGATTGTTTAAGGAATGCATACTGCGTGTGCTCGATATGTTTGTCCCTAGCAGGCAGGGAAGATGCGGTCGAGTGAGGGAGCCTTGGTTCTCAAGAGAGGTTGAATGCCTGGTTAAGAGGAAGAAGGATGCTTATGTAAGGTTTAGGAAACAAGGAACAGAAAAGGCTCTAGAGGGATACAAGTTATCCAGGAAGGAGCTGAAGAAAGAACTTAGGAGAGCTATAAGGGGGCATGAGGAAACCTTGGCAGATAGGATCAAGGAAAGCTCCAAGCCTTTTTACACGTACGTGAGGAATAAGAGAATGACCAGAGAAAGGATAGGGCCGATCAAGGATTGTAAAGGGAATTTGTGCACGGAGCCTAAAGAGATCCGAGAGATCCTTAATGAATACTTTTCTTCGGTATTCACAACTCAGAGGGACCTAGTTGTAGAGGAGGACAGTGTGAAACAGGCTGGTCGGCTAGAGGAGGTCTATGTTAGTAAGGAAGATGTGCTAGAATTTTGAGGAAGTTGAAGATAGATAAGTCCCCCGGGCCTGATGGGATTTATCCAAGGATTCTATGGGAAGCGAGGGAAGAGATCGCAGGGCCTTTGGCGATGATCTTTTCATCCTCACTGTCCATGGGTATATTGCCGGAAGATTGGAGAGAGACAAACATCATTCCCTTGTTCAAAAAAGGGAATAGGGATAACCCCGGAAATTACAGTTAGTCTTACATCAGTGGTGGGCAAATTATTGGAAAGGGCTCTGAGAGATAGGATTTATGATCACTTGGAAAGGCACAGTTTGATTCGTGATAGTCAGCATGGATTGGTGAGGGGTAGATCATGCCTCACAAACCTTACTGAATTCTTTGAAGAGGTGACCAAACACTGGATGAAGGTAGAGCAGTGGATGTGGTATACATGGATTTAAGTAAGGCTTTTGATAAGGTTCCCCATGGTAGGCTCATGCAGAAGGCATGGGATAGAGGGAAATGTGGCAGATTGGATTCAGAATTGGCTGACCCTTAGAAGACAAAGGGTGGACGGAAAATATTCAACATGGTGCTCAGTTACGAGTGGTGTACCACAAGGATCTGTCCTGGGTCCTCTTCTATTTGTGATTTTTGTAAATGATTTGGATGAAGGAGTGGAAGGGTGGATTAGCAAGTTCGCAGACGATACGAAGGTGGGTCACGTGTGGACAGTGCGGAGGGTGGTTCTAGGTTACAAAGGGACATTGATAGGATGCAGAGCTGGGCTGAGAAGTGGCAGATGGAGTTTAACCCTGAAAAGTGTGAGGTGATTCATTTTGGAAGGACAAACTTGAAAGCTGAATACAGGGTTAACGGAAAAATTCTTGGCAGTGTGGAAGAGCAGAGGGATCTTGGGGTTCATGTTCACAGTTCCCTGAAAGCTGCCACCCAGGTGGATAGAGTTGTTAAGAAGGCGTATGGTGTGTTAGCTTTCATTAATAGAGGGATTGAGTTCAAGAGCCGTGAAGTTATGCTCCAGCTATACAAAAGCCTGGTTTGGCCACATCTGGAGTATTGTGTCCAGTTCTGGTCGCCTCATTACAGGAAAGATGTGGAGGCGTTGGAAAAGGTGCAGAGGAGATTTACCAGGATGTTTCCTGGAATGGAGGGAAGGTCTTATGAGGAAAGGTTGAGAGAGCTAGGGCTTTTCTAGAGTAGACAGCCAGAGACTTTTTCCTAAGGTGGAGGTAGCTATTACGAGGGGCCATTGTTTTAAAGTGCGTGGAGGTAGATATAGGGGAGACATCAGAGGTAGGGTCTTTACTCAGAGTGGTAGGGGCGTGGAATGCATTGCCGGAGAGGGTACTGGATTCAGCCTCATTAGGGGCATTTAAGCGTCTATTAGATAGGCATATGGATGATAATATAAGGTAGGGGTGGAGCTTAGATAGACCTTAGAATTAGGGTAAAAGTTCGGCACAACATCGTGGGCCGAAGGGCCTGTACTGTGCTGTACTGTTCTATGTTCTATGTTCTGAAAACTCCAAAGCTTTGTATTGCTAACCAACATGTAAATTTTCTTTATCTAATTTTTCTTCTCTTCCTCTTCTAAAAGGGATAATTCCTGCTGTGGTGTGATTCCACAGTCCTAGAAGTTCTCCAATACCAGATCAAAATCAAACACATGCCTAGATTTTATTGAAGTTATTTGGTGAATATGTCAGTGTTGATCCACTATCCATCTGAAATCGAAAGCAATTTCTGGACAGTGCACATTTGCCCACCTTTAGCCTATTGAGGAGCTTAAATACCAATTACATGGCAATTAAGAGCCTCAAACTGCTGGCATCGCAATAAAACACATGGGAGTGGCTGGCAGGCCAGAATACAAATGCCATTTTTGAAACAGCTTCTTTGAAAAGGCAGGAAGGAGCTAATCAATTAGGGAATGTCCTGTACACGTCAGAAATATATCTTTACACATGTGCACCCACTGATAGTCTCCACTTATTCCTGCCCTGCCAGACTTCAAATCCTGGCTCCCCATTCCCTTAAAAGTCTCCACGCTCTCCCCTAAAAGCCCAGATCTTACCTGTCTCCAGTTGTCATAATCTTCTTCCTGCAGGCTCTATGCAGTCCCTGCAGAACCAGCTCATCACCTCTGGGCTTTGTGGGGTCTTTTAAGGTGTCAGCAGGTTGGATTTGGTGACAACCTTCAAGGGTAAAATTTCCTGTCCGTGAGAGGTGGTGGTCTGTCCCTCAGCCAGTTTAGGCCACTCCCAAAATGTTATTGCATTTTTGCGCAATTGTGGGGAAGGATTTTAAAAGTTGGCCTCTTCAGAACTAACTTACCTTCCACTCATCCCTGTGAAATCTTTTACAGGACTTCTGTGTGATTTTCCCAATCATTTATTTTACGACATGTAAACATTAAAAATTTAAAATTAAAGGATTCAGCAGTTTTTATTTCCTGGTTTTATTTCCTGAATACTTCAGTGCATTTAGTTTCCTTTCTTGTTTGATAACAGTACTGCTGCTCGATACCTTGAGATCACTTAGACTCGATGCCAAGTGCAAACTGATTTTTAGAAAGAAGTCTGTGGCACAGAGGTTGCAAGTTCTTCTTGGGTAGTCTTTCTGAGGTCAGCAGAGAGCACAATTGCTT